ACACACACACACACACACACACACACACACACACACACACACACACAGCTTGCGAATGCGTCGGGGCATTTCACTTTTTCCTGTGTTTATGGGTCAGTGAGAGCAAGGATGCAGAAAACACTGGATAACATAAGTATAACCTGCACGACAATAGGAAAAAAATTAAAATAACATACACAATGCATACTGATGGAAAATGCAACATTAGGCTGGCAAACAGGAAAAGCTATGCGTTGTGGGTTTGACTTCTGTTGGATTTAGAAAACACTAGAGTTCAACAAATGTTCAAATTTGGGAGAAATTGATTACTAATACAAAGGAAGTGTTTTGTAAATTATTTTCAATTCGCTATGGGCGTTAATTTGTCACTTTAAAAAGAGCCAAACTCTTACTGTTTCTTTAATGCTGTGGACCGACTGTGACCCTTTTTTTAAAATGGTTTCCTCTGCAAATGATGCAAGTAGCTGTCGGCAACATGTTTAGATAAAATAAGCTCCGTCCTTCTCCCCTTTCCCTCCAACAATTCCCGAATTTTCGGCTATTCGACTGTAATTTGATCGGATGGAGGCAGAAGATAACTGATTGTGTGACAGCTTTTCTGGAAAGTTATTGTGGGCTGGGCAGTGATGGGCAGGTGCCTTTGGGCAAAGGCTGGCTTATATTCCCACCTTGACAGCTACACAGATAATACGTTAGTCGATCGGGCTACTCCAGGGAGCACGCCTCCAAATAAATTGAACAAACACATACTGCACCAGGGTCAGTAACCGTCGGTGTGAAAATAACCATCGCCACCAATGACACTGATCTAATGATTGAAACCACCTGAATTCTGCATGATCATAGTAACCAAGACTATCGGAGGGATGTTGGTTTCTCAAATGCCAATTTCTAACTTAAAGCACACGTTTTCTAGTTAGTCATCCTCTCGATGTATTCAGACTGCTGTGCTTTTGAGAGAACTCCGTTGACTCATTTCAATGAGAAAAGATTTCCATCACAGCTCTCAGGATGAAAAATCATTAGGAGCCCCTCGTATCTTGATGGCCACTGCCTTCTCCTTAGATAGCACTCTCAGAGCAGTATGCACCTATTTAAATGGTTACCGGCTGCTTCATTCACCACTTGGGAAACAGGAAAATCACTGCCTTGAAGACACAAGAAGCATTTACATGTACTCGGTTACCAGAACGGGCTCAAGTAACTCAATAAGCCCCGAGAGGCCGGGGCGGAGAATGAAGAGGTGGCGGATCAAATTCTGGATGATGCCTCTGGACTGTGGAGGAGCACACACTTAGGAGCTAAGTGTGTGTGTGTGTGTGTATTTAAGACGTGTGCATATTTGACTCGCTTACCTGAAAAACGTCACAAAGAACTGGACAAGGTCCATGATGCTGTTGTGTTGGGAGAAGGCGATCTGTTTGAGAGAAAGACAAGAAGGAGAAATTACTTCAAATATGAAAACTGCAACAAGATGAACACATTAATGCATCAATAATTATTATTTATTAACGCAGTAAACATTATTCTGCAGAATCCGCATTTGGTACTTGAAGTATATTTTGATGGTAATACTTTTGTATTTGCAGTTTAGTAGAATTTTGTAATATATTCCTGCCAACATGAAATAAACATTGATAAAAAAAAGCAACATACTGAAGGTAAATGAGGCTTTTGCGGCATTATCAGAAGCTTTGTACTTAAAATCTTTGGTTAAAAATGATCGTACTCTTTGAGTTCTGACTTTATTCTCAGACTTCTGAGAACCCCATTCCTTACCTGTTCCTGCATTTATTTCTGACTAAAGGGATAAAACAAGCTGCCTGCTGTTGAGTTCTCATAACATATAGTAGCTCTTCTATAGCTGATTAGAGTATTTACGTCAGCAGCATTGCCAGTGAACAATGTATCAGAAATAGATTGTTACCTTCATTAAAAGAGGGATGACACACAGTCCTGGCAGCTACATCACGTCCGATAGGCCTCGTCATAAAGACGCGTCATTATCTACTGTAGATGCGTTAAAGGCATTTCGCCCTCAAAGCACAAACACGACGGCATCGTCAGCAGCATGGAGGGTTAGGGTTATAGGGCACAGACTGTGCGTTTAGAGGTGCATTGTTTGCGTAACGTTTGAGGTTTTGGATGCGGATGAGGCAGAAATTCAAATATATGTCAGTTATCAGTGATTGACAAGCTATTAAGTTGAGTATTTGGCTTTAGCAGAAGACGTATTTAAGGTTATGTAGCCAGAGTCGTCACTGGACTGATGTTCTTTATAGATAACTTCATCATCCGCCCAAAAGTCTCCCACCTTTGACTTTTCCCAACCTTTTTAAGTCGAAAATCAGAATCACTGATCTGAAATGAGATGCTCACTGACATGGCTGACATGACTCAAAAGGAGGCATTACACAGATATTTTGCTGGCTTTTTTTAGTATTGTACTTAGTGCTCGCAACTCTGCTTTTCACATAGTTTGAGGTCAAAGCAATACATTTGGGGTTAATTTAATTTCAATTCATCTATCTGAGACGATCAATGGCATCTTTTGAGAATGTACTTCCAATACAAGAGGACCGTTATTTTATCGAACAGTCCTCTTGGGGAACAATTATACTAACGCACAATGATGTCATGGAAAAAAATCTTAGCTCAAGACCTCCTTTTTACGATCTTTACACACATTTAAATGTGTATTTTTACAGGCAAAGACCCTAAAAACAAGGCTCATAACAGCATTCTCAAAATTCTGCTTTATCTCATCCAGGTCTGCGCTCTCGCCTCTGCAACATAAAGGCACGCAAAGGAAAGAGAGACCTTATCCTGTTACAAAAGCTATTTGCTCTAACAGCTCAGGCCAGTCCGTAATAAATAAGTGACTGCTGGCCAGGAAATCGAATAGGAAACTATTACTGGGCCACCTCCACAGATGGACTGACCCCAGAGATATCATCGCCATACCGTGGTCCAATCCCCTAGCTTGTGAAAGAGACGCCCACAACAAATGTAAAAATCAATACATGGAAGTGGGCTCATTAGCAGAAAGGGAATTGTGTGCTATTGGTAGGAATAATATTTGTATCCATCATATTTCTCAGTAAAAGAGTCTCACGTAAACATTCAATTGTTGCAGACTGAATCGCTTTCATTTATTTTTTGGCATACATATATAATCACCTACCTCATCTACACTTAATCAACACCAAGTTGTTAGCGAACAATTGGAGAAACATTATCATCCATTTCGAGTCTTTTATTGCCTGTAAGACCAAAGCGTGAATTTTTTTTTCCGGCAAACGCTTAATTGCCGTTTTCCTGCAAAACCCAGAACAACTGACGGCAAATGGCATTTATTTTTCACCGAGTTGTATTCTCGCCCCATCCACCACATCAAGGCCTCAATCTCCTCCATTCAGAACGACGGGTAGGAAAGGTTAAACGCTGCTTTGCTTTTGCCAGCTAAAAAAAACAAAAAAAAACAAAAAAAAACAGCTGTGCAGCTATATGCACGCCAACCATCGCTCATTAAATCTGTAATTAGAATAAAGTGCACTTGGAATCACCCCGAGCAGCAACAAGCCCTGCATCTGCAGAGGCCGCCCTGCTCTCTTTACTGTATGTAGGATCAATTGTTCACCAACGGCATGACTATAGGCATGTTGTAAATCTAGGGAGCAGTTTGAAAAGCAAAGAGAGCATCACGCAGAAACGCAGAAAGACTCAGATCGCCGCGTTATCCGCTTCATAAACTCTCTTCCAGGTCTTTACCTGGATCTTGATGGGCCATGAGAAGTTACTGACGTAGACGTAAAAGGTGATGTTCGGGTTGCTTCTGAAGGTGAACTTCTCGCAGGAGAAGCTGTCTCTGTATTCCTTGATGTTCGTTTTGGACACGATGGGCACCTCCTCTCCAGAAATGGTTCCAGCTGTTGGGACAAAGAGTTCACGTTTAGCACGCTGCAGTTTGCCGCTCGGACAGCGATGGACGGAGGTGGACCGCCTGCAACATGTCATTATGAATCCATTAATAGGTCTCATAAGCCATTATTACTATTATCATCATCATCATCATCTTAAGTGCATCGCACTTCTTTTTGGGTGCCCTGAAACAGAGCAGAGATGTATTTTGTAATTATACATGCCATCCAAATTTTTTAGTTAAATGGACGTGGGAGAGAAGCACAGCTTGAAAGGTCGTGACTGAGTCATGTTAGCACATAGTCATCATTTGAATCCATAACACCGCTAACAGCCAATGCATTTAGTATAACTGAGCCCTAGAAAGTAGCATTTAAAAGCCCTTGGGGTGAATGCAGTCTACAACAATCTGCACAGACTAACCATTATTTATTATTATATACTCGTTCGTGTCCATTAATGTTCAGAATTCATGAGAGGGGTGTTGTTCATCTCACTCAATACAATTCAATATTGTCAAAACTGAAGTACCCTTTGGAGTGTCTTTGTATACAATTCTAAATACCCATCATGACATAAAAACGAAGTCCTCTCCAACCGAAGTCTATTTCTAAGCCTATTTTCCGTTGTTTCAAAAATGTTTCAAGTCATTTGGTATTCTCCGTCGTGTCAGTAGGTCCTCAGCATTGACATTCCAACCCACAGCCCTGAAACAAAAGCACTGAAAATGACAGCTTGAGTGTGGCTACGTGAGCATGTTTATCTTAATTGAAATCACCCTCCTCCTCCTCCCACCCAAAGGCGCCTCAACGCTCTTGTCGATTGTGAAGAGGCTCCCGTTCCTTCTGAGACACAATATCTTTGTGGGGGGGGGGGGGGGGGGACCCAACTTCAAATATTAATGACGGTGCTCCGAGGAAGACAAAAAAACAAAAAAAAGAAAAGAAAAAGAAAAAAAGGTAAAGGTGGCGAAGGCGGGTGCGGGAGGTTAACGTGTTTTAGTGGTTGGAAAATGTCAGTGTTGTGGGGAGGGAGGGAGTGGCGGAGGACTTGAGAGGAGGGGGGGGCGGGGGGGAAGAATAAACGGTGGCACTGGACCACTGCAGTGTCCTTGGGTGTCTTTTCACCTCTAATACCCACTCAACGGTGACACAGTACACACCAACACGAGCAGGTACATTACATTTTTATTGTTCCTGCTATAGCGGTTATGCCGACAGACTAAATTATTATTGTAATAAATACATAAAGATATACAACAACAAAAAGCCAAATTACCTACATCACAACCTCAATATCTGGCGGCAGTTAAGCAAATGTGATGGCAACCAAATTAACAGCGTCATGGGAAATATTGTCATTATGTACAACTAAAAACTAAAGGCAGTTATTAAACAAGGGTTTTTTACTGATTATGTCGTATTTAGGTCTATTTGAACGGTGCGTTTCATTATTTCTGTGAATATTGTGGAAGCAGGTGATTGCATTTAAATGAAGGTAAATAAAGACGGTGTGTCTTATTAGCCTGGGTCTGTGTTTGACCTGTTGGTACAAATCCCTGTGTGGATGGAACGCACTTCTTAGTCATGCTTGGGACAAACTAACTGCACATCACTTTGTGTGGGAGTGGAATATTATGCAGCAGGAGGGCGGGTCTGGACAGATTGAGAGATATTTAAATATCCGCTTTGCTGAATTTTTTGAGGTTTAAAACGAAAAATGTTACAACTCTGATCCCTTTTGACCCACATCTCTGATGGTATTTGTGACCTGAGCCATTTGTTCGGTGTAGATTTTCCACGAATGTGTGCAGAATATGGTAATATGTATTTCACACACTAGTGGGAGGATTTGCAATGGAATGAGAAGAGGAAGAGAAAACTGTTGACAGTTTGGACACTTCATTGAGTTAGTTTAAAACTAAACTTTCCAAGAGACGGACTGATTATTCAATACACACTGGCAAGACTGGAATTAATATATATATTTAACAAGAGCAAATGTGCTGCGTACACAGTTTAGCCCTCGGTAGGGTCTCTGTCAAAGAGGTGTTTTTACTACAAAACAAAATAACAAAGTAACAGTACCTGTTGATCCCACCGACCAGGTGATGTTGAGGTTAAAGTTGTTGGATGCATTAATGGACATGTCCAAGTTCTTGTTAGCCTTCAGGTGGAGGACATAAAACATGAATGTAGTTAAATATAAGATAAACTCATAATAGCACAGCGACAGACGCAGGAGCATCATATAGTGAAGTACATCATAAAAAGCAGAGGTATTATAAAGAGGTTATAAAATTCAAGGAGTCAGGGCTCCTCGAACAATTTATGAGACTGTTCCAGACTCTCCAGCGACTCGATAGAAAAAACGAACATCAACGTTAAATGTGGCAGAGTATCACTAGATAGTTACCTGCTCAGGTGAGGCCATGAAGTTGATGGCAGTGTAGTGATTATCATCTTCCTGGATGAGGCTGAAGGTGAATTGGTAGTCGATCAGGAGGTTGTCTGTTTTGTCAAATCGGACAAGGAAAGACAGGTCTCATATCATTCGACAGAGCATATTAATAATGTTAATGAGTGGAAACTTTCTGAAGAATATAAACAACATGAGCTTCCAGCTGAGGCTTACACTACTAGAGACTGCTATGACAGCATAAATATATAGAGATGTACGCTACGTGAAAAGAAACTTCCCAGCGACGGACTGAATGACGGAGACGAGTGAAATCAAAATGTCTGTAATCAAATCCAACCGCGGCAATCAGGGGCTACAATTTACTTATCAAGCAGGGAACAAGTAGGAAAACCTGACCCCTGCAGCGATTAATAAAGTATCAAATGATTCACTAATAGTGGGCACACATTCATTCAACTCACTAAATACTGATTTTGGATTGTAGCATGGATGTTTATTTATTTTATCTAGACGGTCTGCACCGTTGACCTTTTAATGCTTAATGTTATAATTATATCGTAATGCCCACAAAAAAAAATAAAAAATGAGTGGACGTAATAGTCTCATATCGACGGTGTTTATGTGACAGTTTTCACTTTGATTGCATGCATGCGGTAGTCAAACGGCTTTAGTTGACTAAACAGTTAGGGAGACAGCAGAAGTGAGAAGTCAACTAATGACACACACTGGGACGCGGCTGGATAACGTCACAATGAGTGCATCATCTTAAACCATCTGCGTCGCGTTCACAATACTGCGTAACAGAGCTCAAGAGAAAGTCCCAATTGGTGTGCGGAGGTCAAAGCGAGCTCCGGGCTTTTGCTTCCCGTCTTCCCCTCGTTGAGCTGGGTGTCAGCCTGTGTGGCATTTCAAAAAAAGAGGCGCAAAAACTTGGCAAAGGCTCTGTTGTCGGTGGCAGAATGTCGAAAAAGAGAGCTCTACTGCAGCACCGTGAAGGACGCCACAACATGCAAATAAACACGCGGAGCTCAAACACGGTACAGTATACACAGGAATACTGGGCCCTGGCTGTCAGTGGGTTTTTTTTTTTTTTGCATCACTCACCTTGATGCATTTGTGCTTCGCACTCACGTCAAACTAACATTTAGTCAACTTTCTAAATTAATGAAAGAGTAGGTGGGTGATGGAGGGAGTGAGTAGACAAGTGGAGAAGGTTTTTTTTTTACTCCGTCTCCTTGATTAGTTCAATCACTCACTCCTTCTGATGCACTTGACATTTTCACGACAAGTCATTCTGTCACTGAACAAGCGCCCCTGGTGCCAAAGTGCTAAAATGCTCCATCTGCCCAGAGCAGGAAGAGTGGAAGTGGAGAGGAAGAGAAGGAGAGAGAGGGAGAGAGAATAGCGGTGTGTGTGTGTGTGTGTGTGTGTGTGTGTGTGTGTGTGTGTGTGTGTG